TTAAATTAGCATGCACCAATATTTATTGAAATCTGTGATTGTTCTTATTGTACTACTTAAAATAATTGCTATGTGAAATTTCTTCCTGGTTGACATTTGTAAATGACAGAGTGTTCTGTAAGTTTTTGTTAGAACCCCATTTTTTTGTCATTGTAAGTAATTGGTGTAGGAGGGTGATTCAGTGAACTTTTCTACACATTTGACTTTTTTCTGGTTGTTTGTATAATCACTTCTGTACTTCAGTGCAGATGATATAAATTTACTCATATCGTGTCAGCAGAGGTATTATATCTAGCCTTTGAGTTTTTCAGAATATTTGTGGACGTAATCTTTATAGCTGCTAAGTGCTTCTTAGCTTGATGAAGTTCATATGACACATCTCTGTTCTGTCAAATTACTGTTAGATAAGGTTGTTGAGCCTCCCAGCCCTCTGAGTTCAGTATCTTTTCTACTTGTAGCTTTTGGTAATTGCTATTTGTTTTAACACTGGATTGCTTGTTATGCTATATTCCAGCACAGGTAAATATCTTACTTTGCTACTTACATACATATTAAAGTGCAAGTAAAGTGTTGCAGTTGGTTGGTATTTATTTTTCTGCTCTTCTGCATTCTAATGTCAATTTCTGTTACCCGCCAGAAGGTTAATGCACGGATTGTGGAGGAGGAGCTTGCATCAGTAGTGGCGAAAGAAGGGAAAATTATTGAGTTCTACACCAGAGAAAATAGAAGATTAAGGGAAGACTTGGAAAGAAGGGGGGCAAATGAAGAATGGAAAGAAAGGTATGAAGCGGAGAGGAGGCGGAGAGAGGAGGTTGAGAAGAAGTATCAAGAGAAGAACAAGCAGATAGAGCAGACAGCAGCAAAGAAGAAAGAGCAAGAGGGGCAGGCAGGAGAAAAGAAGAGAGAGCAAGAGAAGAGGGCAGCAGAAAGAAGGGTTGTGGAATTGGAGAGAGAGGTTTTGAAAATGAAAGAGGAAAGAAAAAAGGAGAGCAATCAAGAGAGGAATAAGGCAGAAGAATTGAAGGAGAGAGATGAGTTGAGGAAAGAATTGGATAGAGCAAAGGACGAAATTAGAAAATTAAAAGAAGAAAACAAAAATTAAACGGGCTGTGTCTCAACTGCGGTGGTTGTCCTCAGCCAAAAGTCACCACAACCCACCAGGCCTTTAATGAATGAGCAGCTTCAAGTACCAATAATCAGTCGCAAATAATTTTTTATATTATGTGGGTTTTTCCCCCCGTTCATTTTAGTAATAGCTATTTATCTAGATTGCTTGTTATAATATATTGCAACAACATGTTGCCTCTCTTTAAATTAGCATGCACCAATATTTATTGAAATCTGTGATTGTTCTTATTGTACTACTTAAAATAATTGCTATGTGAAATTTCTTCCTGGTTGACATTTGTAAATGACAGAGTGTTCTGTAAGTTTTTGTTAGAACCCCATTTTTTTGTCATTGTAAGTAATTGGTGTAGGAGGGTGATTCAGTGAACTTTTCTACACATTTGACTTTTTTCTGGTTGTTTGTATAATCACTTCTGTACTTCAGTGCAGATGATATAAATTTACTCATATCGTGTCAGCAGAGGTATTATATCTAGCCTTTGAGTTTTTCAGAATATTTGTGGACGTAATCTTTATAGCTGCTAAGTGCTTCTTAGCTTGATGAAGTTCATATGACACATCTCTGTTCTGTCAAATTACTGTTAGATAAGGTTGTTGAGCCTCCCAGCCCTCTGAGTTCAGTATCTTTTCTACTTGTAGCTTTTGGTAATTGCTATTTGTTTTAACACTGGATTGCTAGTTGTAATATATTGCATTAACGTATTGCCTCTCTTCAAATTAGTATGCTCCATTATTTTTATGTGAAAGGGTACGTGTTATTTTATTTCTAATTTATAAAATGTCTTCTGTTTTGTAGACTTTGTGTCAGAGATAGTTCAACTAGATTAAGGATGTTTTGCCAACCATTTTTCCATCTGTAGAATGTTTAAACTTCATCTTTGAGCTTGTCTAGTTTCTTTATTGAAATCGTTGATTGTTTTTTTCTCTACAGTCCTCATCCACATGTTCTTATTGTACTAGTTCAAATAATTGCCATATGAAATTTCTTCCCAGTTGAGATTCGTAAATGACTGTTTCTAATGTATTTATAAAATACTGCTTCACATAAGACTGATTATCTGCTTTTACTTATTATTGTTCTGTAGTGAATTTTTTTATTGTGATATTTTGTGCAGTCGGTACAATGTGTTCTTATCCTTTTGATGGACATTCCCAATGTATTTTGTAAAATAAGACTGATTTAAAGTTTTTATTCAAAGCTAAGGATCAATAATTTTTCCTCCTATTCTCCTGATAGCCCTTACTTATACTAAGTTTTCAATTTAATTTCACCATATACCTATACCATATATGTATGGTATGTAAGGTTGAAGAACTTGTTAATCGTGACTCGAGTTTGTAAAGAGTGTATTTAATTGAATTTTGTAAATTATATGAAAATTCAAACAAAACTTAAAGTATATCGATACTTGTTTCCCACAATCGTTCACAGACTGCTGTTTGGGATGGGGTTCTTGACGCAGTCCTCCAGCACGCTAATGACGTTGTCCACGGCCCACGCTTCGGCGTTCACCCCCATCAGCCCCACGCGCATGATGCGGCCCGCGGTGGGTCCCAGCCCCGGGCCCAGCTCCACCCCGTGCCTGTCAACAAACCCAGTGTCACGCACTGCCTACAGCGACACAGGGCGAAGTGTCTGCCGATACGATGCCGCCTCGGTACCGTTTCAACGCCGCACTAAAGAGCGTACCTGATCATCGCCGTCCTGGTGACAGCCACGGGGTCCACGTTCCGGGGGAGAGTGAAGCCAGTGAGAGTGTGGACCCGGTGCCTGGGATCCTCGATGAACAGCTTGGCGCCGAGTCGCTCCAGGGCGGCGCGGAGCCGTAGGGCAGCCTGTTCGTGCCGCCTCCAGGACGCCGTCAGACCCTCGGACGCGAGGATGGCGAGGGCCTCGCGCAGCGCGTAGAACAAGGTGATCGGCCCCGTGTGATGGTATCTGCGGTACAACGACAAAGCCGTGCTCACCTACACCCACGACAGTTACGTTGTGTCCATGCGGCCGCAATCACGTACTTTCGCGGGTTGCCGAAGCACCCCCAGTAGTCGCCGAGCTGCATAATGTCCCAGTAGTAAACATCGCACGGCTTTCGTCGAGAAGCAACGCGTTCCCTGCAACAGTGCACACGCCATGGCGTCAGACCTCGTGAGCGGAGCGCTTGACGCCGGGAGGGTAGGCAGCCCATTCGACTCACATGGCTCGCGGGCTGAACGTGATGGGCGAGAGGCCGGGCGGCGCGTTGAGCACCTTCTGCGAGCCGGTGTAGACCACGTCCAGCTCCCAGCGGTCCGTCCAGAGAGGGTAACCGCCCAGGGAGGCCACCGCGTCCACGACGAGCAGGGTCCCGTATCTAGCACAGAGAGGAATGCCGGGTTGGACGCGAGACAGTGCTGGGTGTGGGTGCAGAAGGTGGAAGCGGCCTTACTTGTGGCACATTGGCCCGAAGCCTTCAAGCGGCTGTAACGTGGTCGTGGAGGACTCGGCCTGCACCAGGAACAGGAGGCGTGGTCTGTGCTTGGACACGACTTCCTCGGCAGCCTCCAGGGTCACTGGCTGTCCGAGCGGCAGCTCCAGCGGCACCACGCGCGCGCCTGCAGTGACGTGCACGAGAGGGGTGTGAGGTCCCTGGTGACCAGGGCTCCAGCTCACCGCCACCGATGACCACCAGGGCTCACTGCTCACCGTGTCTGGTGATCATGTCGCTGGCGCGCGCCCCCCAGTGGCCGTTGAGGGGCACGACGGCGACGTCCCCTGGCTCGAGCAGGTTGCTGAGGGCGGCCTCCATGCCGCCGTGACCCGCGCAGGACAGGCAGACGGTGACGGGGTTCGTGGTCTGGAAGGCGTACTGGAGGCCCTCCTTGATCTCGTCCATGACCCGGAAGGCCTCGGGGTGCATGTGGCCGACGAGGGGCTGGGCCGCGGCGTGCAGCACGCGGGGCGGTGCGTTGGCCGGGCCCGCGCCCATGAGGGCCTTGTGCGGCAGCCGCAGCGGCGAGCGCAGGGACGCGGGGGGCTGGACGTCCATGTCGACTTCCTGGCTGACGACGCGTTTGAGACCGCTGTTTGCGGCCGACTGACACTCGCTTGCTCTCGCGAGACGTCACAGCTCGGCCCGAACGCTCCGCGTTTACTGATTCGGCCACCTTATCTTTACGCTTTCCCCATCCCCACCCGCACTATCTCCGTGTCCCTTGCAAATTCCCTACACCCCATCAGCATCCTACTTGTGTGTTGAGTGGCCTTGCAAAAGCAAATTACTTTTCGGCTATCCTATCAACTATCAACAAGGTCAAAATGGGATTTTCTACTGAAATTTCATAACAAGGACACAAGATTAACATGGAGTATTTAATGCAGTTTTGCGCATCTTAGACAGTATTGTGTTTTATTTATATTTTCCAGGGAAATGATCAAAATGGAAACTTTTCCGCCTTTCCACCAAACATTCTTAAAAACCAAATTTTGAAAATGCAATAATTTCTTTAAAAGTGTGCCACAGATGATATTTCCCTCAAGGTTTCAGTACAGTTCAAGTGCCCTTTTAATTTGGAAATTAACCAAATTCAAGTGTGACACATCATTTAATGTGATTTTATGCATGAAAAGCATATCTGAGACATTAAAAAAACAAACCTTTGAAAGGGCAAAATCAGGAATATTTTCTTTTTGATCCTATTTGCCAGAAGAGCACAGTGAGAAACTTTGATAGCTTTGCATGATTGCGTTGATTTCTCATAGGGTAGAGTAACTTTTTCAATTTAAAAACTAAAAAACTTAAGCACTCTAGTTGAAGAATTAAGCACAGTCGGAGTTAGAAGCCAGGTTATCCAAAGATCAACAGAATAATATAAATGAGAGAGGCCTGTAAAAGCAACCTCTTCAAACAGACCTGTGTCTGTGAAATTTTCTTTTTCTTAAATCATCAGAACACAAAAAAGATCCCAAACAGGTTTTTAAGGTAAATTTACCAGTGATGTGTAATGATGCCACCCTTCTATTCTCAAAATTTTTCCAATTTGGTTGTTTGAAGGTGGTTAAAGCTGCCAAGAATTCCCTGCTGATTTCGTAAAACAAGACTGAAGTTGTCGGTTCCCCCGTGCAACTGCAGTGACCACCCCTCCAGGATGCCGGTTTGTTTGTTTGTTTGTGCTTACGATTGTGCCGTCGCTACCCCGCGCACCCAGAGGCATTCCCCGCCGCTAGATGGCGCTACCCGTCGCCCGAGCGGTCCGCGCGCCCGGAGTCGGCGGAGCAGCGACACAGCAGCCGTTGTGTGGCTGGCGGCGGCCGGCCTGGCCCGGCAGTCGGGCAGTCTCGTCCTCGCCAGTACCACACTTGTTCAGGTGGAGAGCGCACCGTGTTCGTCGCGGCCGCCCTGCACCGCACGCCGTGCTGCCCTTGTCCCGCCTGTGTTTGTGTCCTGACTGGAGGTGCCGAAACGGATTGGATTCTGAGCCCGTGGCCCACAGCCAGCCGGAGGAGCGCCCCCGGGAACGTTGGCCGGGAGGCGCTGACCCCCGAGCGGCTCGACAGGAGGTCGCTGTGACGGGACGGGACGGGACCATGGCGCTGGCCACCTGTTGACCGATTGTTTTGGTCCCGGTCGGCGGGTCGTGCTGACCGAGGGAGGCGTCCGGCATCGGGCCGTGTCTTGCGCGTGCGAGTGTCGTGTCGCCAATCGTGTGCAAGTAGTGAACCGCTGCGTCGGACTCGCGGTGAGAGAGTGTGCGTGTGAGTGAGTGGATAACCCATCCCCGTCTTGGATTTACCTCGTACACCCCGACTGGATCTTGTGCCATCGCGAGGGCTGGACCGCCGGCTCCAGATGAGAGTCGCCGGGCCGATGGTGAAATAGGTAAGGCTTTGTTCTGATCCGATGTTGTCTTCTGTTGGGCGCTGGGTCCGCGCGGCGCCGCCGTCTTTGGGGACATGCTTTTGAGGTTAGGTTGTCCTCATTGTAATTTGACCAAACTCGGAGAGGGCCGCCAAGCAGCTGGCGCCGCTGTGGCGAGGCTCATTCCCACAAGCAGTCTTGCCATTCCAGACACATAGGGACTCGCCCCCCCCTCCTCCCCTCCCCCAACCCTGGGGCTGCACTCGCCCCCCTCTTCTTGCAACTCCCCCTCCCCCAGTTTCTTGTGAATCTGCCGCCACCGGCGGCGGCGTGCCCCGAAAATTGTGTGTGACTGCGGAATTGTATGTTGGTGCTACACTCCCCCTTCCCGCCTTCCCCCCTCCCTCCACTCTCCTCAACGCACGATCCGCGTCCGAATGGTCCTGTCAAAGCGCCCTCATACATTTGCTGCTACAGAGCGGCAGGCTTGTGAAGGAAAGGCGAATCAATAACGGATAAGAAAACCGAACCGCCTTCGGGATCACCTCACCTGGTCCTCTGTGTGTGGGGGTAGAGGGGGGGGGG